CTTTTCGTGCCTTGTTCATAGATCTAAATCGTATCATTTGATCGGATCTTTTCATGACTGGCGATAGTTTGAAGTAGCTACTAGACTTCCACCGGGTTCGATAAGGAGCTAGGCATTTCAAATCTGAACATATATTTTTCCATAGCTTTATCTAGTCTGTTCTTGAACGCGTTCATACTTGGAGCTCCAACGATGTCATCGGGGAGGCTGTTAAAACCAATGAAGCAATTTAGATTTCTGGAGAAATGAGTACTCCTTAGAGCTCAACTTTGAACAGCTGATACAGATGAGATCTTCACAACGTTCACAGGTAACTGTCTGGACTTCGCTCAGAGATATCTCTTTGCAGTACTTGCAAACTTCCATCTCTAGCTGGGCTGATTTGGTTTTATTTTTTATTCTAGAGGCCGTAGATGGCTTTTCTCTAGAGGCCGTTGAGGGCTTTTCTACTATCTTTTTTATTTTCTTTCCAGCCATTATTAAATGCACGAACTAGATCTCTTGAACGGAGAAAAATACAGAAAAGGACGGAGAAACATACGACTGAGTTTCAATGCACGGAGGAAAACACAAGTGTAAAAACTGAATTGACTTGAGTAGAGTTGAAGTTAAAATTCTATTTAAAACAGAATTGGAAATTAAACTTGTCCTCAGTGGGTCTCAAACCAAGGAGCTGGTTGCGAGAGACAGAGAACCCGGGAGCTGGGTGCGAGACTCTGAAGCTGCAAGCCAATGGCGTGAGCTTGAGAACTTCTAGAGAGTTACTTTGGTCAAAAAAGTGTTGGCTTCGTTCATTTCCCTATACAATATAGAACTTTATCAATTCAAGGCTATAAATAAAAGAAAAATTATCAATGAATGAATACATTTCTAAAATACATTTAAAACAACTTTCTAAACCTTCGAAAGTATAAGTAGCAAAGATTTTTTTAACCTTGTAAAGCAGACGTAGACAAAACATTGTATATTTATTACAGGAGAATGTCGGTTTAACTTGTTAACTTATTTCGGTTCGTGTAAATACGACCCCACTTATTCAATTTAATGAGGAAAAGAATCAAAAAATAAAAAACTTGACTTCTAAAAGTAAATAATTCTGTCCTCCGTTAATTGTTTTCCTGTTAATTCCCGTTTTTTTTTGTCTTCTGTTCGATGAAAAAAGTAGATTAATTAGCGCAAATAAATATACCAATCTTCATGACCACATGACGCTCGAAATTCGTGATCACGATTGTTGCGTTTGACTGCCTGGTGTTAAACAAGAGGCTCCGGCGCAGATATTTCCTGCACCGGAACTTCCCTCAAGGTGTGCTCGAGGACAGTGTCATGACCCTTGAAGTGGAAGTGCCCTCTGAAGCAGGCCCCCGCCAGAAGTAAGGGGTACCACAGACGGTCGTCAGCCCACATGCGGTCATAGGGTAGGCTGGAGATGGGGTGCCATTTGGGGTGCATCTCTGACGAGCAGAAACGTTTGTTGTTTTCGCCCATACGAAATTATTATATCAATGGGATCGTTTCAAAATAAAACGAATCATTATATCAATATAATCGTCACTAAATTAAAAGAAATGACTTGCAGAATAGGTCAATTAAATACTTCCACAATGAGTAACGCTCTTCATAAATATTTTTACACAAAATTGTAGTAAAAAACAATCTATCGTCTAAAATTTAATATCATATTTGGCGATTTCATGATTATTTATCGTTCTTGATAGTTATTATTGCAGTAAAACAGATACGTGAATGAAATAATTGTAGGTAATTAATTACAGTGAGGATTATACAAGAATTGTGTAGGTATAATATTTACACTTATCCTTAACGAATTCTACTGATTCCCAAGAATTTCGAGCGTCCATACCTTCAGACTCTCGCGGTTGACCAGCGAAAACCATCAGCCAGGAATACATGAACTTCCATGCGAGTGTTCTCTCCCTCGAAACTGAACTCTAGAAGACCGACTTCCCGGATAGTTCTGGAGACATCCAAGCCGCTTTCCTCGTCAACTTCTCTGAATATTCAATATTATTAGTGCGTGGACATTAAATGTAAATAAGTTTCACCTCAGGGGCGGAATACAACTCAGTACAACTTCGTGAATATAATAACATAGATTGGAATGAATATAATTAAAAAACAACACTTGGCGCCGAGGCCTGAGACGGAAACTCTTGAGTCCCTCCTCACTATGCAAAACAGTGTGCTTTTTCGTGTTTAATGAATTGCATTTATTATAATACTTATCGAAGCTAGTGCATTAAAGAAACATATTAAGCTCAGAGAAGGAACTTCTATAATTTACTTGATAAAAAATTATATAATCAGTTAACCTGCAAAAAATATTTTATTTTTTTTATTATTAGAAAATTATGACTAGGGTACCTAGGTAGAGTGGAGAGGCAAAAATTTGTTCCTCTCGGTAAGTAAGCTAAAATATTACAAATACTCCGTAAAAATTAAATTGCATCAAGCTGTTAGTCAAAACGTATTCAACTGAATAAGCTAGTAGTATGTAGCGTTTAGGTTCTAAGTTTCATGTGACACTCGATTAAATTTAATACTCCACACCACAGTTGACAACCCACATGCCTTTCGAAACCCATTACCGTAGCTATTGCAATTTTGAAAACAATGTTATATTCAATATTCTTTGTGTATACTACTCGAATAAATAAGATAAACCGGAATATAATCCAATAATTTTAATTAAATTATTTTGCATTATCCAGCTGCGAGATACAACTGACTATTCGTTGTAGAAGTTCGAGATTTGATCATACCTCACTGCGGCGTTTGCTATGCTCTCGCCAGACTCCACTTTCCCTGCCAAACCCATTTATTTTGTTTTGACCAAACCCTCTCTTTTTGAATCCAAGAAGTAACATTTCGCCATGTTTGATTATTGTTAGGGTGTATAATTTACGCACAAGCTGTGATAAATCAACCATAATGAGTGTTTATCAATTAATCATCAACTTTTCTTCCACAAGCTCTTGGTTCAACACTGGCTCACTGACTAGTGACTGGCATGCATGCCAGGACTAGGAGTGTACGCGAGTTCTGACATGGGCCAAGAAAACGATACGCGACACTTTGCGCTCCTCGTGAGCTTACCAGGAAAAATGTCGAACGACAGCATTGGATATGAGGTCATCAGTCTTTGGAATTGGTATATTTACTTAGAAATAACTTAGACCTTGAATGTAAATCCGAGTTTTTACACTTTGGTAGTAAAATTTAGTGTGTTCCTAATCGTTCACTCAGAATTTTAAATCTCATCTGATTTTTTGATGGATTAAAATAGGTAAAATTGTTTTCAAATGGAAATGGCTTTTCCAAACCTTTAATGACATTGATGCAATCTAGTGACAACGATGCAGTCATGTGGCATTCATACGATCGAACAGGAAAAAACTCTCCTCTTGTGTGTACGACAACTGCATAGATGAGAAGCAATTCATCCGAAGAACTCAGATTGATGAAAATTCGGGAGAAATTACAGCGGAGTCCATTACGGGCTTCAAAACTATTGCCCGTGACACAGCTTAGGGTGTGGCACACCGACTTCTCCACAAGGTTGTTCGTTTCCTGATATTTACGTTTTTTCACATTCAAATCTTTTCGTTTATCCTAATGGCAGATTCCAACGAACCTGATCCGTCGACAACTCCTCCGCTCTCCTCCTAACCTGGCCACGTGACTGAAATCATTTTTCAATAAAAATGTTTGATTGAAACGCATAACAGCCTCCACAACATATATAATTATTGCGTGACGTCTGCCGACGTATATGTAGCAACGTATATCTTTCTATATGCCTCAGTCTCTTATAACAGCAAGTTATATGTAGCTACGTTAATGTTTGTCATTCGGTTATCCTACATTTATCAAGTATATTACTTTGTGCCAAAATTGTAGACAAAGCAATGCTGTAGTTTAACAAATTCCTATATTAATGTACTTCTAAACACCAATTCAATCTCTCCCTTTGGAAATAAACTTATCGAAATGCACCATGACGCACTGAAGCAGAGGGAAATACAAATTTTATACATGCCTCCCAACCCGATTTATTTTAGCTGAATGAGTCAAGAATGCAACCATGGAGTCAAGCGTCCGCGCAATGTTTGCCGGATTGAGTCTGAAATGCAGAATAGCGTTTATTCCGAGCGTCATTCGGTCTGCACGACCACAATGAACAGGTGTGTGGTGTGGTGCTGTGTACTGTGGTGCTGTGTACTGCGGTGCTGTGTACTGAGGAGCTGTGTACTGTGGTGCGGTGTGCCGTCGTTTGATATTTCAAGTATAACTAGTACAGTTGTTCTTCATTATCTAACGGGCAATCCTTTTCTGAGAAGTTGACCTGCCTTGATTTAGAGGTGAAGACTTCATCTTAGGTTTTATTACGCATGTTTAGGCCTTACGTGTAATGTATTACCGATACATTAACTTACGTGTAATGTATCGGTTTAAAAGTTTTATCTCTTATGCAGAGAGTCCTCCGAAATCTGGACCTGAATTTTTACACACTGTTAATTTTTTCGATGTCATAATGAAAGCTTGACAGTTAATCGTCTTTATTCTTCTGTTACTATTGAGAGAAGTGTGAAGAATTCTTCTGTTTACTTTACTGCGGGGAGTGTCATCAACCTAGTGGGCTATTACGTCGGGGTTAAAGTCTCGAGCAACGCCCAGTTGATACTGGCCTCCGTATAACGTAACCAGAATATCCCAGTGCCCCCTATATCTTAATATTAATATCAGTATCAATATCCTAATGCATCTTGCATCCCACGATGTCTACCACAAAAAACATTGACTCAGCGTCATACTGCGTCAAACAACGCAATCACAGCGTCAGATACTGCGTGTAAGAGTATTAGTTGGCTTGATACCAATATCAATACGCGAAAGACGCGGGGTAAAACCCGGGGTGGCCCCCCATTTTTACTCTCCAACAGCAACGAGGTTGCATCGCAGACAAAACAATAAAATTATTGTTATTTTTAATGAATAATGCAGTGAATTTTTGCAAAAAATAAGTAACGGAAAGCACAAACAATTGTATACATATAACTATAAATATTAGTTAGTATACCTATAACTATAAATATTAGTATGAATACGTAAAAATAATTAAATTGTGGAAGTTGAACAGCTGTGGATGGATATTAGGGCGAGGCGTCTTTAAATGCAAAAGACGAACACCAACACTGGATATTGAACATGAATAGTTCGAATGGAGCAGTTCGTGCTCAGTCTTGGCCGTAAAATTTGTCCGCGTTGTACCCACACCAAGATTCTGGTAGAGCAGCTATTGAGCGAGCAGATTTTTTTCTGTAGAAGCATTTTTGTTTCATTTCGCGTGGTTCCAATAATATTGATTCAGTGAGGGCTTTGTCGTGTTGGTATCCACGAGAATTTCAGCAGGAGCGTAGGAGGCTGTTGACTTAAGAGTTAACAATTTCAGTAGGAGCGTTGGAGGCTGTTGACTTAAGAGTTAACAATTTCAGTAGGAGCGTTGCAGGCTGTCGACTTCAGAGGTAGCAATTTCAGCAAGAGCGTTGGAGGCTGTTGACTTCAGAGGTAGCCATTTCAGTAGGAGCGTTGGAGGCTGTTGACTTCAGAGGTAGCAATTTCAGTAGGAGCGTTGAAGGTGTTGACTTCAGAGGTAACAATTTCAGTAGGAGCGTTAGAGGCTGTTGACTTCAGAGGTAACAATTTCAGTAGGAGCGTTGGAGGCTGTTGTCTTCAGAGGTAGCAATTTCAGTAGGAGCGTTGAAGGTGTTGACTTCAGAGGTAGCAATTTCAGTAGGAGCGTTGGAGGCTGTTGACTTCAGAGGTAGCAATTTCAGTAGGAGCGTTGGAGGTGTTGTCTTCAGTGGTAGCCATGGTGCACTGGGAAATGCTGATTGAAGTACACAAAACTTTTTCCACCGCCGAATCCACCATGATGGCCGTGACCATATCCACCGAAGCCTCCGAAACCGCCGTGGTGGCCGTGATGGATTTGGTGGCCGTAGCTGACGTGGCCGTGGCCGAAGCCTGGTTGCGGTGCAGCGGTCGTCATGGCGACCACAGCGGCCATGGCCAGGATAATGCGCAGGATCTGCCATACAAATAAATATTTTTAGCTAATTTAATTATTACGCGAAATACAAGCAATATAAAATGCAAATTCTGATCGTTGGTGTCCCAAATATAATTTGAAATATAATAATTTGCCTACGATATCTTCGGGATTGTATGTTTATACCTGTGTTATAGAAACCTATAACTGCATATACTAATTATGGGCCAATCGAGCGTGTTTTATCTACCATCCCTATCGTGATACATTATATAGTTATATTTTTAGTTGTGGCATGCAAGACACTACTCTTCGAGGTTATGTCCTACAGAGCTACACTATATGACAGCATTGAGAGAACATTTTTAGTTTTTTTGAGAATTTTTAGTTTTACCTAAAATAGCGAGCATTCTGGTATCAAGATAATAACCACATAAAAATATATACATCTAAACCACATCATGCGCGTGACCTGACCAATTGTAAAATCATAATTTCAACGCTTTTTTGGAGATAAATGCAGGAGATTTATCAAAATTCTTAACAAAGAGTTCTTCCAAAACAGAAATTTCTCGCAAAATTCTAAACAAAGTACTTAGTGTCGAGCATTACAAGCGGGGAATATTAGGTTGGAATTAAAACTTTTCTTGTCATTTGCATATAATAAATGTTCTTTTTGAACGACAAATAAATGAATAATTTAATTTATTTCCAACTTCGGAGTAGAGAGCTATAAGAAACTCAACGTCGAGGGCGAGTTTAGATAATTCGTGTCTTATAATTTAACTTCAGTGTGGAAATAGGATCCAGAAAGAGTGAATCCGGGGCATTTTTTCCGGGGCCAACTATCACAAACAATACTGAATATATGAAGCATAACTTGATTCACCGCTCTACGATCCTTCGAAATCTTGATTTTTAGCGCATTTTCTCATTTATGGGAAAAATGCCCTATTGTGCTCGTCATGTCCGTCAATCTATTCCGAGCGTCCGTCTGTCCGTCTCTCGTCTGTCTGTCCGTCCGTCTGTCCGTGACTTCACGTTTTCGACGACGAGAAAATGCGCTCTCTGTCACTCACTGCAGTGAGTACTGAGTTTTGAACTTTTTTGTCTCAGTTTAACTTCTAGTTTTTAATTTTTTAATTTTATTTATATTTTTATTTATTTATTTATTATTTATTTTTTATTTGCTTATTTGCATTTATTATATATTAGTAATTTTTTGAACTTTTACTTTCATTGGCTAATGTACCGTGATTCTAGAGTTCAATCTAAGATGCGGTATTATTGACAAAAGCCACGTCACTCACGGAGCTGGAGAACATGTTGCTGGTGTTGCTTGCTTAGCTCGACTGTGTTGCATATCACAGCATCAGCTGCTTATATACAATCGCCTTACCGTCACGACTCGGCGAGTTTCAAGTGCACAATGACATTTGATTGCTCATTCTAGTGCGCCGTGACCACCGAATGAATGACCAAGCCCTCGCATATTATTTTATAATCTTGTACTGCCTCTCAGAGATCATTCTGAGTGCTGCTGGACTCGAGCCATTATTCCTGTTTTGCAAGGTTGAAACACGCGAGTCATTATGTATTGCTACAGCAAAGAAACGTGCTGCCAGGGAAACGTCTACAACTCTAGGTCATAATGATTATGCTCGTAACACATGTTTTCATTTTATGAAACTGCACATTGATCTGAAATTTGCAGCTTAAAATTCGCTCGCCGTTAAGTGTTTGAAATTTCTAGCATTTTCTCATTTATAGAAAAAAGATGCTATTGTGCTCGTCATGTCCATCCGTCTGTACTTCTGTCCGTCCGTCCGTCCGTCCGTCCGTGACTTCACGTTTTCGTCGACGAGAAAATGCGCTCTCTGTCACTCACTGCAGTGAGTACCGAGTTAGAGTTTTTTTACACTCGCCGCTTCAGGCATCGCGCTGTTGATCTATGCCAAGAGGAAAATTTGTATGCTGAGCTCCCAACTTGACACAGGCTGATGAATTAACGTTTCTGACCTTGCTTTAAGCAATATCTGACTTTACAGATTTTTTGGTAGTGATAATTGAATTATATTTATCTTTTTCTATAAACTTAATGTCAGGAGTGTTCCATCCATTGACTGTGACTGTGTGACTATGCAGCGAGCCTTCAGCCACCAAACACATCACTCCCATAGGGATAAAAAAATAACGCATCAATCCAATAGGGTTCAAGTTGAATCTTGATTTGGTTTATTCTTAAATCGATTGAATCTTTATTCGAAAGAATCCTGGATCTAATGAATAGAAATTATATTGAATCTCGATTTTAATGATTCTTGATTCGATTGAATCTTAATTCTTTTAAATCTTTGGTTTAATTGAAAATGTATTCGATTGAATTCTTATTAGCACTTCCTGGTGTTAATGGATTTCGTGAAAACAATTCGAGGTCTCAAGCGATACACGCGTTTTATTTGAGTCTCACGGAGTTCAATTGTAATGCTACCGAGCTGCTGCTGCTGCATCAAGGCTGCTGTCCACCGAAGGTCTTTCTCTTTAGAATTTCTACAATTAAATACATGAATTACTACCAAGAAATTACATCCAGCCTTGGACAGGTTTTTCGATAAGAGAACTTGTTCGGAGTAAATTAATTAACAGCATTGTTACGTTTATTCCATCATCTTTTTGAACTTTTTTGACTTTTGAGCCAAGTGAGAACATGAGTGGTGGCCAGTGAGAACATGAGTGGTGGCCAGTGAGAACATGCGTGGTGGCCAGTGAGAACATGAGTGGTGGCCAGTGAGAACATGAGTGGTGGCCAGTGAGAACATGAGTGGTGGCCAATGAGAACATGAGTGGTGGCCAGTGAGAACATGAGTGGTGGCCAGTGAGAACATGCGTGCTGGCCAGTTGATATAAGAATGGCAGGACCGTCCGGTCCGGACCGTACAAGTCAGAATCTTGGTTTAAATTATCGAACTTTTTCCGCCCGTACTGGAGCTTCCGTGGACTGGCTATTTACAATTCAGATGAATTGTTTCGGCTGTCCGCTTGAAATTTTTTAAAGGATTGTTAGAAAGTAATATGTTATATGAAATAAGAATAAGTCTGGCCGTAAGTGAATACTTTTCAGAACGTTTCTTGTAGGGCAGGTAAGTAAATAGTGTTACATTCGGTGGAATAAAGCTACAAGTTTCATATAGGTTCAAGTGCAGAGTTATGTATTATATATCAATATATTATTTAATTATATGAAATTGTTAACAATATACTTTAAATGTCCTACTCCACGGATTGAACAAAAGCGTAAGAAACCTCGAACGGAAAGAAGGCTAGAGATCGGTTCGTCAGATTTATTTAAGTATCTTAGCGAAATTTATTACTTTCTGAGTGATCTTTATTCTAGTAGCTGCAAAATTTCAGGCTTTACAATGCCAATTTTGTCATCAATTTTCCTCTGAGATGAAACCAGCGCACTTTATGTGAACATTGAGGAGGTTGCAGTACGCTACCAGCACGAAAAAACGAGCTTGATGCTCGATAAAAGCGCTGGCCCAACGATATCGCTTTTTAGGGCATTTTCTCATTTATGAAAAAAACGCTATTGTGCTCGTCATGTCCGTTTGTCCGTCCGTCCGTGACCTTAAGGACGGACGGACAGAAATGCGCTCTCTGTCACTCACTGCAGTGAGTACTGAGTTATAGTTTTTGATGCTTGGGCTGCGTAAGCTGCAGGCACTACAGCTGTGTCAGGATGTGATGTCACACCCCACAGACACATCAGGCGTGTCAGGATGTGATGTCACACCCCACAGACACTTCAGGCGTATCAGGATGTGATGTCACACCCCACAGACACTTCAGGCGTGTCAGGATGTGATGTCACACCCCACAGACACTTCAGGCGTATCAGGATGTGATGTCACACCCCACAGACACTTCAGGCGTATCAGGATGTGATGTCACACCCCACAGACACTTCAGGCGCATTAGGATGTGATGTCACTTTCACAAGGGATCCGGCCTTTGGAACCCGATCTTTCCATAACTGACGATTGATTGAGATAGCTGCTGGACTTATTGCCTGGTCCGTAGAGTGCCAGGCATTTTAAGACTGAACACAAATAATTTACGTTAGGCATTCATTTCTACTGATATTTGCGCTTAATTTTACTTATGAGATAATATTTTTCGCGTTAATTTTGAAATAACGATTGATTGTTAAAACGATGTAAAGCGTGAGGCATGAGAGTCACTGCTGGAATATGAAGTCAGTCACTCTCCATATAGTTCCAGTTCTAGATAGTTACAGTTCTAGATAGTTACAGTTCTAGATAGTTACAGTTCTAGATAGTTTCAGTCCTAGATAGTTTCAGTCCTAGATAGTTTCAATTCTAGATAGTTTCAGTTCTAGATAATTTCAGTTCTAGATAGTTTCAGTTCTAGATAGTTCCAGTTCTAGATAGTTTCAGTCCTAGATAGTTTCAGTTCTAGATAGTTTCAGTTATAGATAGTTTCAGTCCTAGATAGTTTCAGTTCTAGATAGTTTCAGTTCTAGAAAGTTTCAGTTCTAGGCAGTTTTAGTTCTAAGAATAGTTGCAGTTCTAAGAATAGTTTCAGTTCTAAGAATAGTTTCAGTTCTAAGAATAGTTTCAGTTCTAAGAATAGTTTCAGTTCTAAGAATAGTTTCAGTTTTAAGATAGTTGCAGTTCTTCTAAAAGAAATTCCCACTAGAAATTCTTCTAGTTCTTCCAAAATAAATTCTTGATGCTCGGAAGTTAAATGCAATACTGGGATCCAAGATACCTTCACCATATACGTTACTTGACCGTTCGTGATGCTTGACTGGAGTCCAAGATTCGTGCCTGTTCATGTAACTTGACAGTTTGAGAGCTTGATTGAAGTCCAGATACGTGCCTATTGTAAGTAACTTGACCATTCGAGTTGCCTCAAACGCTGACATCCTAAATACATAACTTTAGTTTGCTAGGCTGCGTTCAATACGCTCTGAATGCATTGTATGTTGCCACATGCCACTTGACTGATGCATGCAATACCGGACTTTATCGTTTATTTTGAAGTGATAATTGAATTATATTCATATATTTCTATAGTTTTAATGTCACGAGTGTTTTATCGTTTGGATGTGACTACGAGATTTTGTAGCGAGGCTTGAGCCACCAAACTACGAAGCTTATTCCGGCCATTCGAATCGCTCCAATGAAGCTGAGGTTCGAATGAATCTTCATGCGAAAAAGTCATGAATCGATTGAAAAGAGATTAAAATGAATTTGATTGGGTTGATTCTTGATTAACTTGAATTTTTATTCCAATGAATCGTTCATCAGTCCAAATCGTTCATCAGATTTGGTTTATTCTTGATTCGATTGAATCTTCATTCGAAAGAATCCTGGATCTATTTAATAGAAATAATATTGATTCTTTATTTCAATGATTCTTGATCATATTGAATCTTTATTCTTATGAATCTTTAATTCAATGATTCTTGATTATATTAAATTTTTATTCTATTTAATCTTTGGTAATTGAATATGGATTCGATTTAACCATTATTCGGTTTAACTTCCTAGTGCTAATGGATTTCAGGAAAACAATTTGAGGTCTTTAACAATTCGCGCGTTCTTTTGTTCCTTTCAAGTTTCAATGACCGCACGGCCTTTCCAAACTCTAAGTTCGGGCGCACGACAGCAACAAACAACTGCTTCATCGCTTCTGCATCTAGGAACTCGGTAAGAGCTTCTGACCAGTCTAAGAATTTTATTGGCTTTTATTACTTAGCGTTTCAATATACTCAAAAAATTTAAACTCACAGTCAGTATAAACTGTGAAATCTTTTTTCCATTGTCGACTTCGCAATCATCACTCGTGTCGCAACCATATCTACTATGATATCTTCTAATACTGTAATCTTGCTGTTCAGTGTTCTTACCGAGAGGGAGTACTTTACACTTGTCAGCAATAAAACGCAGCTGCCATGGACGTATCAGCTCCGTCACCTGAACTATCGAGATTTGCACTTTATTTGACGCATCTTTAACTATATTATGAACTTTTGTGTCGTCGGCATACAAGGAGCACACGCTTGATACTACCTCTGACAGCTTCTGGCGGTTTATTTGCTAAACGATTCGTGACTCGACTGCAGGTAAATGCTCAGGTTCTCGACTGTTGGTTGGAAATGATCAGTTGCACATACCGGGATATCCTAGCATTAACATTTATTTTTTTTTTCATCCGCTCACATGCTTAATCAGCGTTCCGGAGTGAGATTGAATTTAAAAACGAAGAAATTTTTAAGTGAATTCAGCGCACATATATTAAATGACAACGTGTCGGAGGCTCCAGCGTGGTTCGCTCTCGATCCGGCTGAAGATTGGTGAATTTACTTGGCACTTTCTTCACATTTGCATTCATGTTTAATTTACGATTCAAGCAAAGCCTTGAAGAAGATGAATTGCCTAGTATGGAAAAAATAAAATCTGAAGAATAAATTGTCTTACTTTATTCGGATGCTCGCGCTTACATTCATTTCATAATGCAATACTGTGGGTAACTAAGGTACCAGTCAATCCAGGAGATTTATAAGTAATCAATTTTATCATTTTTTGTACCTAACACACCCCGATATTTACTATTCATATTGAACATTTTATCAGGTGCCAGAAAGTAAGTTTATTATGGTGATAAATGTTGGCCAGGAAATGCCGCTGAGATAGAATAGAATAGAAGTGGCGGCACTGAAGAAATAGGCTCATGGCCTGTTGCCAATTTTTGTACTTTACGTGACTTGATTACAAGGGATCCGGCCTTTGGAACCCGATCTTTTCATAAGTGACGATTGATTGAGATAGCTGCTGGACTTATTGCCTGACCAGTCTTAGAACTTGATTGGCTTTATTAATTAGCGTTTCAATAGCTAGGAGCTGCCGTGGACTACCGTTCGTATTATTCGTATTACTCGTGATTATTTATTTTAGTGAGCGTGTTATATTCGTACGTTTCATTCGTGGTTGAGCTTAGTGATAACCATGGTGATGCCCGTGGTGGTATTGCTGCACATGCACGAAGCTCTTAGCGTGACCACCACCGTGGTGGTGATGACCGTAACCGCCGTGGTGACCGTGGTGCTGGATGTGGTGGCCGTAGCTCACGTGACCGTGGTGACCGAAGCCGGGTTGTGGGTTGGCTGCAGCCCATACGGCAACCACAACCATGACGGTCAACCGGATCTGGATGAAGAGTGCAACATTGGAGAGTCAGTTGACTGCGTCGTGAGATTTACGATACACGTACGATATCTAGAGGCTGCAAATGTATTCATGAAATTTACATTTTTTATGATGGTGATCAACCGTTCATTGTAAACACCCTTCGTTTATTATTCATTAATTATTGCCCATTCAGACCTTATTTTTGAACCGTTTTTGGTTAACTTATGTCAGCGTTGCAATCAAATTGCGAAAATTTCATCATTACATTTTGAAATTTTAGATAACTACATTTTGAAATTTTAGATCATTACATTTTGAAATTTTAGATCATTACAGTTTGAAATTTTGGATCATAACATTTTGAAGAGCCAAGAAAATCTACGAGCGTTTCATCTCGCTTCATCTCCAGGTCCAACGAAAGTTGAAATAAGGCACGATAAATAAATTCAATACTCTAACCCTCTCATTGAGTCAAAAAACCACAAGATGGTCTGACTTTAATTCTTTGCTTTAAAATATTTCATCTAATACGAGGAATTACCCGAGCTGTTATGGTTCTCGAAAACAAACCGTCGAATATTTTTCAGAAAACAAAATTTGGGCGCTAAGCACGATAGCCGAGCAAATATTCATTCACTCCTTAAATTGAATTAAAACTAGGAAAATATATCCAGCATCTTGGACAAAAAACACATGACAAGGAAGGTATGCTGAGAGATAATTTTTGCGTGAGAAGTAGACAGCTCTCCGGCCGAATTACTTTGGATACTTTATAAGGAAAATGTCCTCTTGTTACTTCGTTATCTGACTCACCAGCGTAGCAATCATTGTTATGGAGGCGATGTAAGGTTGCGTGCTGCTGGTGATGCTGCTGCTGCAGGTATGGGTTAGGAGGGTTGGTCACAACTCATTTATAGAAGTATTAGGTCACCGGCGGCTATTAACCATACACTTACAAATACACTTGCGGCCATTAACCATACACTCACTCATACACTTGCGGTCGCACGAAGTCGCCAATGACCTTGCTTTGGTACAAAAACCTCGTAAACTTAATAACTCATAACCTCATACAACCTGTAACTACACGAGCGAACACAAGTTGCTGCAATTGCCTTATTACACACTCAACTTCGAGCTCCGCGCGACTGTATTTATGTGCAATTTTGAATTGTTATCAAAAAGTATTTAGCAAAATATAGCAGGAAAATTATGAGAAAATTCAGATGTTAGCGTCATTATACTTTAATGCTTGGCCGTGATAATATAGTATATTGCTTAAGAAGTTTCCACCTTCTACGCCTTCAAGAACAGACTAGACGAAGCTATGCAGGAGCATATGTTCAGTCTTAAAATGCCTAGCAAATTACGGAGCAGGCAATAAGTCCAGCAGCTATGCAGGAGCATATGTTCAGTCTTAAAATGCCTAGCAAATTACGGACCTGGCAATAAGTCCAGCAGCTAATAGTGTGGTAGCGCTGTGTGGTGTGGGGCGGCAGCAATAGTGTGGTAGCGCTGTGTGGTGTGGGGCGGCAGCAATAGTGTGGTAGCGCTGTGTGCTGTCTAAGGGAAGGAGGTTCGCTCAGCGCAGTGAAAGGTTCGTTCTAATTACTTTTTTAAACCTAATTAACCTGTGTCTAGCCACGAATTTCACGAAAAAGAGGCCTGACAAAAATGTTTCTTTGGAAACTTTATGTCAATATGTTTTATTAGGCCTGTCTATTCTTTCTTGAATTGATTATACCTGAACTTTCGGTAATTAACATTCTTTCTACTTAATTAATGCACTCAATGTCCTGGTTATTGAGAGAACAATAGATGGTGAACTTTTTATATGTATTAGTATTGTTGGGTGAACACATTCACCGCAATGCGTTTGTGTGTAATTGCATCAGCGTTGAACTAAAATTGTATAAAATATAAAAAGTTTACATATAACATGTACACAGCATAACATATAAGAAGCTGGTCCATATATCGCGCATCTGGCAAGCCCTGCAATGATGACAAGCGCAGCACAGGTCGCCGAGCATCACGTGAGGCTGCGACGTGAGACAAGGTGTGTAGCAGCATTTTCCTGAAGTTTTTGATTCTCGCAATTTGTTATAGACATTTTCAGTCCTGTTTCGATCCATAATCTCACTTTTATTTCGTGTCTTATTTTTTCAATTCTCGCAATTTGNACACGGCATGTTCAGCTATACACATTTGGGCGGGAAATACAGTTAAAACAAATGTGCCATATACACGCTGTCTCTTATACACATCTAGATGTGTATAAGAGACAGCATTAAAATATTTATTTTGAAATCAACCATGTCAGAGTAACGAAATAATTTGTTCACGTTTTAGGCTTCCGAAAATATTTCAAACCTCTATCAAAAATATCATAATTAATCATTCTCTTGCATTGAGCATATGAATGTTATGCCTCGTGCTGCCGCATCCGCGATCGTCATTCGTTTCTGTCAGTTGCATGCCGGGAGCTTACTTTCGTTGTTCTTGCTCTTGTTGTTCTTGCTCCCATCAGTCCCATGAATTGCGTGTTTATTGTGTGCATCATGGAAAAGTTCTTTGCTGTCACATTAAGAGACAAATCTTTAACGAACTACTAAAGGAACTAGTACTTTTTATAATTTTAATTGTTGAGTGCAAGCTGCCCTGCAGACACGCAACATTTCCAAGTTAAGTGATAACTTTATGGAAACTTTTTATACCTTTACCTATACGTGTTTAAGCCTATAAGAAGTTAATTTTTTTGCCTCAAATAATGTTGTATCGAAAAACTGGTCTAGGTGTAGCGAAAATAATATATGAACTGTAAATTTTAGAATTCCATCCTGCTTTACTGGTCTAATTAAAGGACTTAAAAATGAACTTGAGGAAGAGTCTAAAAAAACTCCCTGCTTTGCCACTATGATCTTGATACCACTGTATCCACTGTTCCATTTTCTCCCTGAAGCCTGAAATATCCTTCATAACAAGTCTAAACACAGGGCTGGAAAAGTCCTTTTTTTCTGAAATATTGCAGCTCTAAAAGCCTCTAATATCATATAATTTCAGTACTAGGTATGAAATATTATGTCTCAAATGACATACATTTTTGTTTGATTGAAAAATTATGGTTTGCAGTTTGCACACTGCAAACATGTCATTTCATAAAATTTTCCATTTGAGCAATCTGCATTGCTTTACGTTCCTGCCAAAATATCCTGCAGAATGTAATCATTGTAATGTAAACAAGTCAACGGTCAACCTAAACGTTTTGTTCAAGTTTGCACATAGTTGCAGACTTGCGGTCACGTCAAAGCAGTCAGACTGCGACACTGCGTTAACAAGTGTTCAGTTTACAGTAAAGATAAATGTTATTGTTGCCATTTTTAGGGTAAAATTAGAGATTAGGGATAACGCGTGCTGCAATTTGAGTCAAACACCAAACGGCAACAATAACATTTATCTTTACAGACTTTACTGTAAACTGAACATGGATGGAATTCTAATTTTGAAGGTTCATATATTAAATTTGGTCAACCTGAAAGTCTAACCACTACTCTGAGGAAATTTGTACTCGCTACTTGAAATTTACCATGTCCATTTTATTTACCAACTTCAATTAAATGTTGCAACAGACTCCCAAAATATTCAATTTGATTACTAACTTTAAGAAGCGTTTGTTCCTTAACAATTTGTCTCTGAGTTAAATTAAGCAAACTAACTAAACAGTAGGAAGTACGAAGTAATAGCGTCTCACGACTAAGACAACACCAAACCAAGTTCAACGTGATGCACACTGCTGGGGAAATTTGGAAGAGCAAATGATTCAAAAACATTTACCACAAATGCATGTCTGCAACTGATTGATGCCCGGTGACCATTGACACTGCATTGCTGCATTTCTACGCAATGGTGCCAATTATTATTAAAATTAGAAATAAAATTACGCACTTAGCTCATTTTATTCTTAATGTGTGTATATTTGTTATACTATGTTGAAATCAACACTCATGTTTTCATTAAAAAAGATTTGATGTTATAATTATTAACTGAGTGATATGAGTCAATTCAGTAAGCCTCATCTGTCACTTATTTTCTTCCATCATGGGCGATCTCTTTGTTAGTCGTAATGAACTGGAATGGTCGCTGCAAATCATATGAACGGTATATTAAGTTCAAGTTATTTAACACTTGTACAATTTCTGAAGGAGGTTTGAAATATATTTGGATCTTTACAACAAGGAACAATTTTTTTACAATCCTTCCGAATTTCAGATGATCTCAATCGTCCTCATCTAAATATTTAAAATGTACCGTAAAATGGGGTAACTTAGACCACTTTTTTTTATATAAATGATGCCATTTTTTACTAGCTAAATTAAACTTAAATGGAAACATGCAAAATACAGGCCTATAGCCTACTCTATCTTCACTCACCATAAATTGCTGGCTCCTGCCTCTCATAGTCTTTATGTAATTTCAAAAAAAGTGATGGTCTTTGTTAATGCATAGAGTGGAAACCATTATAAAAAAAGCGACTTCATTAGTTTATGCACAATGGAGGCTGTCATTCATGAGATTTAATTTTCAAAACTGTATGAAAAAAAATTTGGGATACTGTTTTCTCGAATAAAAAAAATTTAAAACAATAACTGAAGTACTTTTGTTTTTATTGACCTCTCAAATAAGTAAGTTTCTGTGGCGCACCCTGTACAATTAGAGATTTGGGGTAAAATGTGCACAAGACTTTGAAATGAGTTTGCAGCTCCAGGTTCTTCATGGCCTGGAAGGGATATGATATGAAATTCATGGCTCTAAGAGATGGTATCATGGCTTGCAAATCCATAAAATCAAGGCTTGAAAAATCCAGTTGCAGTTCAGAGAGTAGTTGTTTTTCTCACTAGCTGTGCACTGTAGGATGGAATTCCAGTAATGAGAGTTGATAATTTAATATACCATATTATTTTTTATTTACCTTAGCCAGTTTCTTGGACCAAAAATTTTAGCAAAGATAAGAATGAAGGAAAAGAGGAGTTAAAGTTACACGTGAAAGAATGAAAGTTGCAACTGCAAATGCAACATGTAAAGATTTCAAATAGACATGTAGACTAAATAATAAATATTAATTCATTGATAATTTGCCTCTTAAGTTGACCATAACAAATTAAATTTTATGAAATGACACTAAATCACATTAACAATATGAGTTCAATCTACGATGCGATGCACCCTGCAGAGGCTGTTTGACTGGAAGAGGCAAAATCATGTACATGGGAATGCCAGAAAAGCATGCATGTAACCCAGGCTGCAAAGTTTGGAAGATATGTTGACAAACTATAGATTTTTAGCCCAAAAACTTTGCCAGCAGTATTCAAGATGCATTGCCCAGTCACCAGCCATGCTAAAGATGTGTCATCAAGCAATTTTTAATATGAAAATGCTGCTTAAAACTGTATATCCTGTGCTTTGCATGCAATGTAGCACTCAACTGCCTTGCCATCAAAGCAGCTTCATAGTTACCTACTTATGATGTCAAGATGCCCACAAGGTGGAAAAATTCCTGCTTAATACTAAACTCTTGTAGATCCAAAATATTTTAAATAGTCTGTGGTCCATAAACTAAATCACAAATGGCACATTGATCCTGATTTTTTTCAAATTCCTCTAAAATGCAGAGCTTCCTGAGACCCTGACAAGAAACCAATGCCTCCTGAAAACTAGCCAATAAAACTAGAGCCCACTGATAATCTCATCCACATCCTGAGCCCACTGATAATCTCATCCACATCCTGAGCCCACTGATAATCTCATCCACATCCTGAGCCCTGTCTCTTATACACATCTAGATGTGTATNAGCCCACTGATAATCTCATCCACATCCTGAGCCCACTGATAATCTCATCCACATCCTTAGCCCACTGATAATCTCATCCACATCCTGAGCCCACTGATAATCTCACCCACATCCTTAGCCCACTGATAATTTTACTTGTTCAAGAGTACAAAATTTATGGGGTAATTTTCACAAGAAATTACTTGAAAATGCATGTTTTTTCCATCATTTTCTAAAGAATCTACCCAGTATTACTGTCAATAAATTTTATTGTGCTTGGAAATTGGAATGCCTTTGATCCATGTTATTGGCTCCTTAGTCATGATTTTGAGATTGACTTTGATTTATTTTGCAGATTATGTTATTTTTGTAGTAAAATTATAATGCAGTCTGTATGTTCTGTAGGTAACTTGAGATTTTTGAGGCCTAAACATTTGATTTCAAAGCACATTATCAGTCCTGAGTACTCAGTCTATTCCAAAGCAAGAACTGTTTTAACTCAGAAATCAACTTGCCTTGTTCCTACTTCTAGTACACCACATAGATTGGCTCAATCAGTTGTGGGTGCAATCTCTAATTTTCCCATCTCTAATTCTGTAGAGCAATCTGTGTCTCATGGCAACAACCATCATCATTCTGATGAAATGAATAATTTTCAGTGAGTAATTTGCTAAGCATAAACACGTGTACTGTATATGAATTATATTATTCTAACAAAACTCATTCTAAATTATTATTAATATTAATTACTAATTATTATTATTTTCTTTGATGATTCTGATGAAAAAATTGCAATAACTGGCAAATCACATTTGTGCTGTGATATTGAGGAAGCAGCAATTTGCAATGAAATTTTTGTCAGTGGAATACCTAACCAGTTAGCTATAATTGAGAATGAAATGGCAATGTTTCTAAAGGGCAGTTTTAAATACCACTTAAATGACCTGCAACATGAAACCATATTGATATTTGATAACATATTACTCTTCTTTGGCTTAGTGCTTAGATGATTTAAAACAAGAAAGATAAGAATATTCTACTATGTGTTTTTTTAAGGACTCACAAGGTGTTTCTAACTTCATCAAATATTCTTAATTTGTATTATTATTTGGCTAACTTTCAATAATTAAGAAAATATGTACATCTTCCTTTTAATTTGTGAAGAACTAAAGGCATGAAAAATATTGTTTCAAGCTTTTTTTAACGCATTTTCTTATTTATGGAAAAAATACGCTATTGTGCTCATCATGTCCCTCCATCTGTCTGTCTGTCAGTCTGTGACTTCATTGGCGGACAAAAAAATGCGCTCTCTGTCACTCGCTGCAGTGAGTACTAATGTAGTAATTTTTTTCTTTGCTTTGCAGTTTCAAAAATTTGTTGCCCAAGTCCTTTCATGGCAGCATGGAGGACTTCTTTTCAGTGTCCGCTTTATTGTTCGCCTCCTCAGCCGTGGTGGGGCTGGGAGTTGGGACTCTCCTGTCCAAGTTCAACTTGCCTTACATATGGAGTCACAAGGTATTAATAAACTTTTTACTTATAACTTTTAATAACTTTAAATAAATTTCTTTTGATCTCAGTTAATCACTTTTAAAGATCTTTCCTACCATGAAATATCTATCATTAGCTTACAATTTTTTATAGACTTAGCTGTTTATATTTATAAAAATATTTTGTAAAATGCCTCAAGATTGTTCAACATTCTTACATGCATGCCTTCTCAAGTGTTATATTTATACAAGTTACCAGTTAAATTTAACAAAATTCATCACGAACTTTGACTGTGTATGTACTATTAAATAAGTTTAGTTGCTAATCGTCATCCCTCGTGAATCAAGTCACAAAAAGTTTAAGAATCAGCAACAGGCTATTGGCCTATTTCTTCAATGCCGACACTTCCATTCTATTCTATTCTATTCTATTCTATCAATACACTGAAATGTGGTTATGTTCATGCCATGCTGCAGGCAGATCCCACAAGCAAGCGTCATGGAGGAGAGATTGTGGTGGATGTGCTCAAGAAGCACAATGTGAAGCAGATCTTTACCCTCTCTGGCGGCCACATCTCGCCTATCCTGGTGTCTGCGGAGAAGGAGGGGCTTCGTGTTGTGGATACTAGACATGAGGTTAACTACTTGACATACCAGTAGATACTAGTACCAGTCACCCTTTGAAGGACAGATGTTGAAATATAATTAGGTTAGAAATAAATTTAGTTAGGTTATTTAATTAGAAATATAGTTAAGTTATTAGGTTAGAAATAAATATAGTTAGGTTTGAAATAATGTATATTAAAAAAATTTATATATTTAAAAAAAATTGAAAAGTTAATTTTTTTAATTTTCGAAAATTAGATGAGAAATTTATTGTACATCTGTAAGATTGGAGATACTGGATTCTTTGGAAGTGTTGTCTTTAAAAAGTAATTTTTAAACGTATATTATTAAAAATTGAAGTGGCATAGGTCACTAGGGTAATGAAAATACATATCACATTAATTTGACTAGGCAGATAATAGATAATAATGTCTCTTTCTATTTCTAACTGTAATACGAAGCCGTATCATAATGGTTCTTACCTTACTTAGGACGCATTTTCTGTGATGTTTAAAAAGCTGGAAGATAGCAAATCCTGTCTTGGTGGACTACCAATGCTTGTCAAATGCTCATCTGACAATTCTTCGGTGCAGTTAGGACTGTTACCTAGATGTTACCATACCATACCATTTACATGTGTTTTTCAAGTGTTTACAAGAGTTTGCAAGCGTTTAGGAGAGTTTACAAGCATTTACGAGTGCTTACAAGCATTGACAAGCGTTTACAAATCTATGGTACACAGTACCATATATGACTACCAACTGGCAGTGGTGCGCTAGTTTTCAAGTAACTATATATGATTACTTGTCTGCAAAGTGCTAGGAAATGCTTACCTATGTCACTCATTCAACAAATTTCTACCAAGACACTCTTTGATCATTGCTAGAAGTTTCATGACCTTACATAAGCTACATAAGCAATTATTTCATACTTTCATTTCTCTCGAAATTTCATAATTTAGTATATTTTGCTACTCATGATTGCTGGTTTTGGTGAAGTTTATTGAATAAATTTCCTTCTTTTAGATAGAGTACATTTCTTTGTCATAGTAGTAACAAATTGAATGAAAACATAAGCTCAGTTTTTGATTGTCATTGCAGAATTTTATTGAATAAATTCCTTCTTTTAAATAGAGTAAGTTTCTTTTCCTTAGTAGTAAGCAAATTGAACAAAAACATAAACTGTGTTGTTGGTTGTCATTGCAGGTGACTGCAGTGTATGCCGCAGATGCCGTGGCCAGAATGTCAGGCAGCGTTGGTGTGGCTGTGGTGACAGCTGGGCCTGGTCTCACCAACACCATCACTGCTGTCAAGAATGCCCAGATGGCTGAGAGCCCTGTCTTGCTTATGGGTAAATATCTGCGAGATTTTAATATTTGAATAATAATAATATGAATCATTTTATTAATATGAAGCACAGCTGAGAGTCCTGTCTTGCTTATGGGTAAATACGTGTGAGATTTTGTCATGGCTATGTGCCATGGCGTATATAATATGAATCACGGCTGATATGAACCAATCTGAAAAAACATGAACCGAATACAATTACCGTACTTTCAATATAAAAAACTGGACAAGTACTATCCGATTTTTGCTTCTGAGAAAAGTTATTGGATTAAACTGATGTGAGAGAAAAATGATTACTATATTCAAGCACCTTGTTTCTGTTATTTAGAAAACTAAAACTTTAAATCAAGCACCTTGTTTCTATTATTTAACAAACTAAAGCTTTAAATCAAGCACCTTGTTTCTATTATTTAACAAACTAAAGCTTTAAATCAAGCACCTTGTTTCTATTATTTAACAAACTAAAACTTTAAATCAAGCACCTTATTTCTCTTATTTAACAAACTAAAGCTGTAAAACATATTGCTGTTATTCACCACTGTAAAGGTGGTGCTGCTGCCAGCATTCTGCAAGGTCGTGGAGCTCTGCAAGACATCGACCAGCTGGCGCTGTTCAAGCCGCTCTGCAAGTTCACGGCCTCCGTCAGGAGCGTCAGGGACATCGCGCCCACACTGCGCAAGGCGCTCAAGATTGCCCAGTCCGGCACGCCAGGTGCGTGAGGGCGGCTTGGTGGTGGTTATTAGAACCAGTTATAAGACCCTTAAGCATTTTTAGCTTGTCTCAATTACAGCTGTAATTGGATTTAAGTGCTTTGATAGTAGTTATCAGAATGAGTTATTAGACCCTTAACCCTCCGCCGCCTGACATGAGTAACCGGAGTAATATTAGTACCTACCTAGTATATTAAGATTACTAATATAATATAATAAAATTGGTAATAATATGAGTAACTGGAGCAATATTATCACGCGCCTACTTCCCAAAAAGGATACGTTCTAGTGAGCGCAAAATGACTTGCACTGATGCTTGCCGCCACGTACGACAACTTTAAAATGTTCTCTGTTGCGTACAAACGTCCTCAGGTTGCTACACTCAATAGGTTACAGATAATTTCATATAAACAATAGTTTACGTTTAATTTAAGTTGAAAGATATGTTCCTGAGAGTGACACACGGCGGTAGAGGGTTAAGTATTTTTAGCTTGTCTCATTTACCAACTGGAATTGGGTTTATGTGTTTTAAATGTCAACGTAATCAATTTTTGACCTAAAGTAGAGCACTCCTTTGTTCGTGTTTGTTCACACGGCGTCTTGCATACAAATCAATCATTCAAGCTTATTGGCCTGCTTATTTTCCTTTTTATGTTGAACAATACCTTCATTTTAACCCATAGAAGTTTTGCCCGAGGAAAGCCACCCGCGAAATTGGTTTACAAAGAAAAGAGATGAACAAAAGTACCGTAAGAAGAAGTGTTCCGCTATTATGTAGGGCGTGCTAAAGTTGATGGTCTTGACTACACTTCATAAACTATACAAGTGCCTCTGATGTTACAAATGAAGTAACACTGATAAGTAAGCAAAGGCATTGGCTGAAATGTAGTGGCTGCTCCCCACGCACAATCAGGAAAAAGAATTAACATGCTTGAGCACTGGTGAAGCTTTAGCATGCGAGGAAGGACCTCGAATGAATTGCCTGCAGCCAGAATCAATGTAGGTAATGAACTTATTTCTCATTGTACAAATTGACTTGTTTCCCGACACATTTTAGTTTTTGACTGCTGCCGGAACAGCTGTTGTCAAGAACCGCAACACAACTACAGTATTCCGATTGCCACCAAATTTCAGTTTTGGCATTGTAGAAAAAAAATCATGAATAGAAATGCTTTCTAGACGACGAGCGGTTTTGTACCTCTAAGATTGCGAAACAAGGCCTTGAAAGATGGGGTTTGAGAGATTTAAAATTCTTACTTCTTGGCGCACAGAAGTCTTGACTCTAAAAATTATTTAAATGACGTATTTTCTGAAATTCCCATGCATTAATTTGATCTTCTAGTGCCACTTATAGGCCTTCTAGTGCCACTTACAGGTCTTCACGGATTTTTTTGTTGTCAGGGCCGGTGTTCGTGGAGTTCCCTATCGACGTGCTGTACCCGTACCCCATGGTGGCCCGGGAGATCGCTCCTCCAGGTCCTCCCCCCAAGAACATGCAGCAGAGGGTAGGACAAGAACATGCAGCAGAGGGTAGGACAAGAACATGCAGCAGAGGGTAGGACAAGAACATGCAGCAGAGGGTAGACCACATCTTTTTATAAGATCAGTGACATCTGGTCCGAGCTTTAAATAAGAAACTGGTATAAGCACTTCCTTATCTGCAGGTTCTTATTTTTGTTTAATTATCATTTAATATTTAATCAGCAGTTTCTTATAATAGGTTCTTATTTTTCTTTAATTATTATTTTATATTTAACAGCAGTTTCTTATTAACAGGTTCTTATTTTTGTTTAATTATTATTTAATATTCAACAGCATTTCCTTGTATACAGGTTCTCATTTTTGTTTAATTATTATTCTATATTTAACAGCAATTTCTTATTTACAGGTTCTTATTTTTATTTATTATTTTTTTTTTGTATCGGCACGAAAAAAGCAGCGCCCTAACGTTCCACAGCCCTCGGGTAGCAGCAGTTGTGCTTTTAGTACAACAAGTGTTACAATGTGTTGCAGGTAGTACAGTGGTACATGCAGTAGGTACTACCTCAACAACCTGTACACCATGTAACGCTGTGTTGCAGGTAGTACAGTGGTACATGCAGTACTACCTCAACAACCTGTACGCTGGTGCCTGGGACCAGAGGGATCACTCGCCTCTCCCTCTGGACATTCCCATCGCTCCTAACAGCACCGGTGGGCACCTTAATTTATTCTCTTATATTCTTATTTTTAATAAATAAATCAATCAGGGCAATATGTGCTTTGAAATTTATTCTATGCAGTTAAATTATTCTTTTTAATGAATAATTTTTTTCAGAACTTGGAACTGTCAATCATTTGTGTTTTGAAATTTTTTTCTGTTAAATTCTTATTTTCAATAAATATTTTTATTTCATTTCTTGAGAATTCAAACTGTCAATTACTGCATTATGTGCTTTGAAATTTATTCTATGCAGTTAAATTATTCTTTTTAATAAATATTTTTATATTTTTTTTTGAGAACTTGAACTGTCAATCATTGCAATACCTATGTACTTTGAAATTTATTCTATGCAGTTAAAGTATTCTTTTTAATAAATATATATTTTTTTGAGAACTTGAACTGCCAATCATATGTGCTTTAAATTTATTCTGTTATATTCTTATTTTTATTAAATATTTTTTTTTATTTCTTTCTGAGAACTTGAATATTTAATCATTGCCATATTTGCTTTGAAATTTTGAAAGATTCACTTATTCAATTTTAGTCAATAAATATCGGTAATATTTTGCACTTAATAAAAGTAAAGAATGTAAGAGAGTAACGTCAGCCAAAGTTAATTAATATTGGTGTAACTTTGATGCATATCATCCTGTGATAATATACAGGCTAATATAATTTAAATTGCTTGCATTGGAACTAGAGTGATTATTGTAACAATTAAACTCTGATTATTCAATAGTAGAACATTGCTGGAACAACATTCTGTTATATTGAATGCACATTACATAATGTAATGAATATACACCAAATGCTGTACCGTACAGTGGAGCAGTGTGCTGCCATACTGCGCACAGCACGCCGTCCAGTTATTGTTGTGGGTAGCCAGAATGTTTATATTATTATCTATTATATTATCATTATTAATTATATATACCTATATATAATACTATATAAAATATTATTAATATTTATTATTATTTTAGCCTTGTATGTCTTTTATTACAATCATCAGGCACCATAGACCCCTACAGACATTAGGTCTAACATAGCTGCTGTAACAGCAGCCGTAAATGAGGTTCCGTACAGACCATAAAATCGATGACATTAATCTTGTGTATTTGGTTATTTGAACCCTGTTAGCTCAGCTTACCATAGACTGAAATATTTCTTTGCTCACGTAAATCATCGCAGGTTATTACGGTGTGACATTTCTTCTATGACTCACTAAACCGCAAGCAGGTCATTATGGTCTAACATTTCTTGTATCACTAGACCGCAAGCAGGTCATTATGGTCTAACATTTCTTGTATCACTAGACCGCAAGCAGGTAATTACTGTCAGACATATATTATGCTCTAACAAGACCGCAAGCAGGTTATTATGGTCTAACAATTATCATGGTCTAACACATATTATGGTCTAACGATTATCATGGTCTAACAATTATCATGGTCTAACACATATCATGGTCTAACAATTATCATGGTCTAAACTAGGCCGCAAGTCAGGCATCCAGATGCGGCAGAAGCGCGGGGACTGTCTGAAGGAAGCTGACGTGATCGTGCTGGCAGGATCTGTCTGCGACTTCCGGCTGTCCTATGGCCGCAGCCTTAACAAGAAGGCTAAGATCATTGCTGTCAACAGGAACAAGGAGCAGCTATATAAGGTTTGTTGTGTTGTTACGAGGTGTTCTTCAATCATAACTTTATGGTATATAATGCTTAATGCTTGATCTGCGAAATTCATGTTCTTCATGTCCCCCAGAACTCGGACATGTTCTGGAAGCCTGCCATTAAAGCCCTTCATATCTCTATCTTTGTTTATCACACGTCTCTATCTTTGTTTATCACATGTCTCTATCTTTATCACACGTCTCTATCTTTGTTTATCACACGTCTCTATCTTTGTTTATCACGCGTCTCTATCTTTGTTTATCACACGTCTCTATCTTTGTTTATCACACGTCTCTATCTTTGTTTGTCACACGTCTCTATCTTTGTTTATCACACGTCTCTATCTTTGTTTGTCACACGTCTCTATCTTTGTTTATCACACGTCTCTATCTTTGTTTATCTCACGTCTCTATCTTCGTTTATCTCACGTCTCTATCTTCGTTTATCACACCCACACGTCTCTATCTTTATTTATACCATGTCTCTATCTTAATATATCGCACGTCTCTATCTTTGTTTATCTCACGCCTCTATCTTTATTTATACCATGTCTCTATCCTAATATATCACACGTCTCTATTTTTATTAAACGTCTCTTTGTTTTGCACACGTCTCTATCTATATTTATCACACGTCTCTATCTTTGTTTATCGCACGTCACTTTGTTCATCACATGTCTCTTTGTTCATCACACGTCTTTATCTTTGTTTATCACATGCCTCTATCTTTGTTTATCCCATGTATTTTTCTTTATTTATCACACGTCTCTATTTTTATTTCTCACACGTCTCTATCTTTATTTATCACACTTCTATCAGCTCTCCAGGAAAATCAATTCGCCCTATTCTTTAATACGTGTCTAAAAATGTATATAAATGGAAGATCGGTGCATAGTTGGAGAAGTTTTGAAATTCGATGATTGGTTTTGTTTCCAATGTTTGAAATTTAATTGCATGTACATTTATTTACTAATGGTTCAAAATATCATCAGTGGAATTTAAAAAATACGACTGCTGATGAAGCGCGCACTGAATGCTCTCAACTTGAAAATATATGCCTCCTTTATAGCGTTTGTTGCCGAATCTTGCACTTTTATGTTCTTTCCTTGTGCAGAATTCATAAAGAATAATGATTGATGCCCAGAAGTAGTTTGATTCTAATCTTGCTTCAAGTTAGTTAAGCTTCAAACTCTCATGCGTATGAACGAGCCAGCTTTTGCTTGTAGTTATTTCTTCTTGAACTGTAACTTCTCATTGCTCGTACGAATAACCTGCTCTCGTCGCGTCTTATGAAGTATAATGATACATTATTTTTCATATTATAAACTTATATTTTTGTACATAAATATAATTCATTGAATATTATTAAGATAAATAAGCCACATATTCAGTATACGACAGTGCGAGTAAAATGTATTAATAACTTTGACCTGGTAATAAGCGGTGCAGGTAAAATGTATGAATAACTTTGATCTGGTAATAAGTGCGAGTAAAATACAGAATAAATTCAACCTGTTATCCATTGTGCACATCTCCATTATGCGTTCAAAGCTAAAGCACCCCCTGCAGTTGGCCGAGGTGCCCCCCGAGCAGCACCTGAACCCCCTGAAGGTGTTCACGGAGCTCGAGGAGATCCTGCCTGACGACGCTGTCCTCGTCGCTGATGGTGGAGACTTTGTTGCCACCGCATCCTACATCCTCAGGTCCGGCATTACTTTAATAAATATAATGTTCCGTACAAAATAATGTTCTACCTACCATAAGATAACTACGTCAATTCTAAAATATAATGTTCTACCCCTCAGCATTACTTAAAATAACTTACCAAGTTACGCGCGACTTGAAGTTCTGTCAAGTTGGAACATTTTCCTCGTCTCAATTACCATCCTGGTGCTTGATGGACTTTGCTGGTGCTGAGTTAGCATCAAGTTTAAAGTTGAACTAATTGTCAACGCACTTTTCAATTTTTCAGAAAGCAATTTTTTCATCGTCCTGCACTACGGCCTTTGATCTTGCAGAAAAAATACACTAATCTGGATAAAAGTTTCTGTTGTTTGTACTCTATTACACGTGGTTCTTCATTAGAAGTTTAGTTAAGATGGATAAAAAGTAGATTTTATTTCAGCATGAACACTTTGAAAGAAACAAGTTTATAATGGCAGAACCAGCGTGACAGAGATTCATGAACAATTCACACCCTCGTAGATCTTTCATGGCTCAGCCACAATCCCATAAAGAGCATAAAGGTAGCTAGTGAAGCAACAGTGCGAGGTAAGTTCAGGTAGCACCTGGCAGCTAGGTTCAGGTAGTTCAGGTAGCACCTGGCAGCTAGGTTCAGGTAGTTCAGGTAGCACCTGGCAGCTAGGTTCAGGTAGTTCAGGTAGCACCTGGAGTTTTACGACTGACCTGACCAACAGGCACTCTAACCTCACCTCTTGCTATGTAGCTGCTGCTGAAGTAAAGTCGGTAATCCAGTCGGTAATCAATGTCGGTACCGTAATCCAGTCGGTAATCAATGTCGGTACCGTAATCCAGTCGGTAATCAATGTCGGTACCGTAATCCAGTCGGTAATCAATGTTACTTAGCCGACTACGCCAGACTCAATAGTACATGTACACGCTAGGTACATAGTACTACCATAAATATGCACATGAGACGAATAAAATTAACGCTGACAACAGTGAACGACTTTTATAGTTCACAAACAATTTTTATCGTTCGCTAACGATTTTTATCGTTCACAAGTGATTTCTATTATTCACAAATGATTTTTATCATTCGCAAACGATTTATATCGCTCACGAACGATTTCTATCCTTCACAAACGATTTCTATCGTTCAAAAACGATTTCTATCATTCACAAACGATTTCTATCGTTCAAAAACGATTTCTATCGTTCACAAATATCGTTCACTTTATTTCACTTTATATTATTTAAAATATCGTTCACTTTATTACGACATTGTTAATTGCCTCAGAAATAAATACCATCTTATTCTGTAACTCATGTACACGTGATTTAATCCTAATAATTGTGAAATTAATTGTGATTTGATCCTAGAAATTGAAATTTAATTGAAAAAAGTTAAATAATCCTAGTTTAATTGAAAATTATGATTTACTCCTAAAAGTTCAGCAAATAGCGATCAATATAATGTCAATAATCAATCGATATAATGTGTTGATCAGACCTCGCGGGCCGCTGATGTGGCTAGACCCTGGCGCCTTCGGGACGCTGGGCGTCGGCGGAGGCTTCGCTATTGGCGCCAAACTCTGCAGACCGGACGCGCAGGTACAGCAGCGGGTCTTAATTCATGTTTGATGTGTATTGTGTGATTAATGTACAGTCTTGACGTGTATTGTGTGATTACTATACAGTCTTGACGTGTATTGTGTGCTTATTATACAGTCTTGACGTGTATTGTGTGCTTACTATACAGTCTTGATGTGTATTGTGTGATTACTATACAGTATTGACGTATATTGTGTTCTTACTATACAGTCTTGACGTGTATTGTGTGCTTACTGTACAGTCTTACTGTACAGTGATTACTATACAATCTTCATGTGTATTGTGTGATACTATACAGTCTTGTTGAACATGTGTCACTACATTACATTCTTGATGCGCATATGTCACTACTATACATTCTTGATGAACATGTGTGATTACGATACATTAGATACATTCTTGATGAACATGTGTCACTACAATACATTCTTGACGAACATGTGTCACTACAATACATTCTTGACGAACATGTGTCACTACAATACATTCTTGATGAACATGTGTCACTACAATACATCTTGATGATGAGTAAAATAGTTTACTATACGTATATGTAGGTACTTACTTTGTTAAATTCACTCATACTATCACCAAGTAAAATAGTTAGATAATCGTGAGAATAAGTCTTTTGAATATTTATATTATATCACATTACTCATCCTGTGCATACTTGCTATTTCTAGTATGAACTTAAGGTTCGCAGGCGGTCAGAATTGTTGCGTATTCCTTGTCACTAGCACAAAGGCAGGCGCTGAGCACGTGTACGTGTCACGTGTGCAGGTGTGGATCATCTACGGCGACGGTGCGTGCGGGTACTCGCTGGCTGAGCTCGACACGTACGCGCGCCACAAGCTGCCGCTCATCGCGCTCGTCGGCAACGACGCGGGCTGGACGCAGATAGCCAGGGAGCAGGTGCCCATGTTCGGCAGCAGCGTTGCCTGCGACCTGGCGGTGAGTGCTGTCTGCGCGTGTCTGAGGTCTGGACGCTGTGCCTGCGTCGCGTGTCTGGGGTCCTGGTGCTGTGTCTGGGGTCCTAAAGCTGTGCCTGCATCGCGCGTGTCTGGGGCAACATAGTGGCCCTGATGCTGTGCATTTGTGGTAATATTTCGTGTTTCGTGACTTAGCCTCTATTGAAGCCTCTAAGTACAGGGCTATTCTTATTATTGTCTCCTCCTCTGAGATATAACTATCTGCTATTATCGTTGTTTGTAATAATTGTGTATTGATGTCATTAATGTGGTTATGATTATATTGACAACGGTTAATGCCGACAGTACACGGACTATATTGACACGGTTGATGCCGACAGTACACGGACTATATTGACAACTTTTAATGCCGACAGTACACGGACTACCACAAGGTAGCGGAAGGGTTTGGGGCGCGGGGCTTGTTCATGGGGCGCGGCGACAGCATCGCCGACACCTTCAGGAAGGCACAAGAGCTGCACGACCAGCACGCCCCCGTCCTCATCAACGCCCTCATCGGCAAGTCCAAGTTCAGGGAGGGAAGTCTCTCTGTCTAGCAGTCTCTGCAGGGCGGGCAGTGGGTAGTCTCTGTCTCAGGAAGGCATTGTCTCTGTCTAGCAGTCTGTCTAGAGACAACTCATTCGTCGAGAATCCAGCCATTTTTCGATGCTTTCATGTGGTGCGCAACTGTCTCGTTATAACATTAAGCCTCAATATATAACTTGTTTAATTGCCTTACTATTCGTTGTAAGTAAATAATAGTTTTTTTGATGCATTGATATAGAGTATAGACATTTTTACTGTGTATAAAATTGTGTCAAGCAGACACCAAATATTCACATGTAAAATATCGCAATTTATAATCATTGCTAGCTCTTCCTTTGGAACCCATGACGATAGATTGGTTACGTAAGAATTGAGAATGCCATTATTCTGCGTTGTTGTATTTGCATAATTTAAACTGAGCCCGAGATTCTAAAAGCTTAAAATGGCACACGAGTCATAAAATACTCTTTAAATTTAATGCATCTAAAAACTTTTACACGGGTTACGTAAAGGAGATTCACCGAAATCTTGTTCGTCAAGCATGCATCGGAGGTTTGTTCAATTTCTGTTTAGTTAACTTCCTACTTATATGGTATAGGTGGTGAAATGACATTGAGAGACGTATTTTGCAGCCGGTTTAGATCTTAAAATATCAATATTTCGTCAATTGTCATTAGTGTCCATGTTCAATATAACTATAATTTTAGTGAGGTTGGTCACTTCTCAATGTCTGCAATATTAGCATACTATATTTTTATGCAAAATCGTTAGATTTGTTATAACTTTCTTAACCGTGTAGTGCGTAATTAGCTATGTCATGTTTAGTACTTCTTTCTCGAAAATATTCGAGCTACAATATAACTTTGTAACGAAGCTTCAATAAAATATAGGAAAAAACTTTTACTGCATCGCAACAGCAGTAGACAGTAACTTTTAATGGTAAAGAACACAACAATGGTGAATAAAATAAGACAGAAATATAGGTATATTGAAGAGAAGACGTTAAGAAATAATACTACATCGATATATACAGTCCGATCACTTACATTGAACCGAGCATTTAGTTTTAACGATAAAACAAGAACAATAAACTTCTAACGCAGCCCTTGAGAGAGCGACTGCGGCTTTTCTTTTTCTTTGCAGAACATTTCTGTCGTGTATTTCTCGGTACGTTAAGTAACTATGCAGTAAAGTAAATAATTGGCTATTACTGAAGGGTAAAAGGACATCATATTCTTCAGAACTTTCTAGATTGATAATAAATACATAATATTCGCGAATGCCTAATTTTTTCTATACTTTCTACGCACGGATACACCTGTCAGATAAATAGGAACCTGACTCTCCAGCTGATAGAGACTAAGTTGGTCATGTGAAGCGATAACAGACAAATAAATTAAGGTGCTCTGTACACTTCTAAGGTGAGTAACAATGGCGCAATTCACTGACAAACGACTAATAGCATGAATCACTATTCTCCGTGGCACGAATCGCTTAGAATTTCATCTAAGGGGAGCGTTTTGAGGAAAATTTATCTCGATTACTTACAAACGGATCACTTTGAAACTTGGTACACATATGTAAAACCGAATCCTAAAACATTTTTGTTCGTGTCAATTTTTCGAAAAAATAAAAGAAAACGGGAAATTCTTAGAAAACTGCCAAAAAAGGGAGTACTGTTGAAACTCTAATTAGCGGCGGAATAGACTAATAAGAGATGGTCTATATTCCACGCTTGTTCATACATGATAAGCTTCACATCACCCGCTTGCAACCGAGCGCCCTGTAATGTTTTCCATACACAAGGTGTGAAGAATTGATCGTACCATATATCTCCCAGAAACTAGATTGTTCAGACATAATGCATTGACGTGAAGCTTGTTGTGGCCAAGATTAAAGCGCGAACATTGAGTGATCCTAATTCATCCACAAAGTTAAAAACCTGTGTTCGGTCATGATGAAAACTATTTTAGCTCCATTTGAGCAGGAGATTTATTAGTTCTCCCTCCTTAGTTTCTTCGAGCTGGTTATTAACCATGAGTTGTATATAACCGTTATTGTGATCCAAATCGTTAAATTTACTTTTTCCGCACAGTTGACCTAAGATTACCCGCATACAAGAAGTTCTTCAACGATCAGACAGTAATTTTCGAAATCCTCAAATTCAATTTCTCGACCTTGCCTCTTGACCAATTAAAATTATTCAACGATCTAGATCGTGAATATTAACCATCTCTCTAAAATTTTATCATAAAAAGTTGAGAAGTTGTAAAAAGTCATATTCCTCATACAAGGAATAATCAATAGAAATTTCAAGACTTCAGCCAAGATTACTATATTAATGAGACGCAATATTCACTGACCTGATAGAGATTGATGACGAGTCAACACCCTGGAAGACACGTGTCTACCAGATGTTGACTCGTCCCCAATCTCTATCAGGTCAAGTGAATATAACGTCCCAATTACATACAATAATAATGATTATAATGAGACGACAGATCGACACCGGACATTACCGAGATGAGCAACTGACGCGACAAGTTACAATAGCTGATGTCAGTCTAAGCATAGAGTCCCACACTGCATGAAGTGAACCTCGCTTCGATTTTATTCACGCTACTAAACAAAAATACAAATTACCTCGCTATTGATCGCATTAACTCAGGCATTAAATTAAAATTTTGAAGAGTCGCATCTCTACTTATTTAGACACCTAAGCCTGAAGATTATATTAATGTAGTATGTTCCAGCGTTAGTTCAAACTAACGGCAGGCTCAAAGATGACTATGATGACGAAAGTAAGTGCTTATGAAGTTCCCAGTCACATTGTGCACACTGTTCCCATTTCACAAAAAACTGCTTAAAGAAGCCTAGCATATTCATCTTGGTCGCCACGTAGAGCTTTCACATGCATTTTATTAAAGCAAAAACACTGCAGGTCTCAACATAACAAGACAGTTTAGCCACACACGCGACTTGGCACCAGAAGTACATTAGTGAGTATGAACGGCCCATTACGACTCACAAATGAAGGAAGGAAGTCACACTAATAAACCAACGCAAACGTTAGAAGCTGACGCAATTAGTCACGTTATTTTATTCGTTTATCTACAAGCACGAATGATAGAGAGTTCGGTCTAAAACAAGAGTGAGATCAAAAATGGTTTGCACTTTTCATTTCTTCCTCATTTTTTGCGGACAAGCATTCGATGTGCAAGCCTAACACAAACATCTTGGTCTGCTACGCAGGTCTAGCGTTCCATTCGACTATGATAAACAGAGTTAAATATAAAATCTTTAAGTACGGTATATATCCATGAGTATACGTAAACTGGATAACATATCGCTCAATAAATTATGGGATGAGCACAGTAAATCAAATAACGAGGCCTTATATCAAATCACTATTCGCATCATCCAGAAATTCTGTTATTTGTTTCTGAGTCGCTGGTATAATTTTCCTCCCATTTCTTGACAACTTAGATAGCTTCATCGTCGGTTATATTTATAGAGTTCCGTTATATACGTATTCAATTATTTCTTAACAATCTTACGGGCTCAACTTTCCAAGCAACAATATTCTGTTAAAATAGTCCACTTACAAATCTTAATTACAATAGTCGGGCGATAACGCTTCTAGCTCATATTTTAACCATCAGCAATGGCACAGCCAGACAACAATGGCAAGAAAGGGTCCATAATACGGAAAAATTTGTAGCACTATTTCAATGATGTGCAATGAATGATGAAATTTAGCGAGCAGCTCCTGAATAAAATGTAAAATGAACGTGTCTTGATATGGCACCTACGTAGAGTGCTGGGGCATACATACAAGTAGGCTACGACGACGCGCGTATATGTGCTATGGCATGCAAGAGTAACGACTTACCGCAATATTAATAGACAATAACTCATTTCTAGTCACGCATAATTAATAAATAAATAACCCAATACACGATACATAAACGATGCTATGACCTTAACTCCATAAGAAATAAGATGTCAGGTAAATAGGCAAGTCAACTGAAATCATAAGGCTAACTATTCACAATTTTCTACTGCTAAATGCATTAATTAAAAACTCGCGGGCAATGCATTAAATACTCCGGAGCAATAATAGCGTACAGTATTTATGTAGAGGCAATATAAAGTCAAGGAATGGCATCCTGTTCACACATCATCACTTGTCACAGCGAACCAGAGAGCAGTCACATATTTTCCATGTATATATTAACAAACTTTGATTCCTAACCCTCTGCCGCCGTATGTCACTCTCATGGAACATAACTTTCAACTTAAATTATACGTAAACTATTGAGTGTAGCAACCTGAGGACGTTTGTACGCAACAGAGAACATTTTAAAGTTGTCGTACGTGGCGGCAACCATCAGTGCAAGTCATTTTGCGCGCACTAGAACGTATCCTTTTTGGGAAGTAGGCTTGTGACAATATTGCTCCGGTTACTCGTGTCAGGCGGTAGAGGGAACACCATCAGGTTATTTACTTGCATCACATCACTTCACCGATAAGCTATCAAAATAACACCAGCCCCAGGCGACCCCTATAAATGAAGCGATATTTCATTAATTTTTGTCACATGAGACAACTTGGAGCCGAATTCTCCACATATAACTTCTACTGCGTGAATTTGGTTACTCTCTTTCAAGCAGGAATAAAACAGGATAATTAGCCTGCCCGGCCAAGTGATAAGTAACACCATAGTTTCTGTTCTCACTAACACGTACAAACATAGCGACAAACATAACAACTGATTATAAAAAAACGCATTTTTACAAAAGTTTCAAAGATAATTTCATCAATGAGAAACATTTGGCAGAAAGTAAATAAATAAGTGATGCATTACAGTTGAATATTGCGATGAAAGGGGCGAACAAAATTCCAAACGTTCACATCCTGAAAATGATTACGCACGTAACAATAAACATGTAACCCGAGTTTGTTTTATGGCACAACCCAAGGCCATGCTGAAGCATCACCCTCGACACCTGTCATGTGATATCTGCCAACGACATCGAGAAATGAATCGAGCTTCCCGAGGTTCGAACCCGCGGCTAGCTCTTTCTCGGTGCTGCTACCACTGAGAGGCATTGGATTCAAGCGGACTAATTAAAGTGTAAAATTCACTGCAATTGCGGCTCATGTTAACTCCTGCAGATTTTAGACATCCACTTGTCTGAAATGCAATGCTTGGCATTAAGGAAGAACTTGCACAAGTAAGAGTGATGAAGCACAGTGCCTACCCACACGGCTTAGAGGAATATGTATCGAAACGTATATTGCAAAGAAAAAATAGTATTGCGCGAGCTCGCAAGTCAACTTCGTTACCATGGTGTCAGTAAGACGGTAGTAACTAAGTAACTATGACATTGGTTTAATCGATACGTATTAAAAGAAAAAATAGTATTGCGCGAGCTCGCAAGTCAACTTCGTTACCATGGTGTCATTAAGACGTTAGTAACTAAGTAACTATGACATTGTTTTAATCGATACGAAATAAAAAGAAAAAATAGTATTGCGCGTGCGCGATGCACGAGCTCGCAGGTCAACTTCGTTACCATGGTGTCAGTAAGATCGTAGTAACTAAGTATACCTAACTATGACATTGGTTGAACAGATTTTACCAGGCAGATACTAAGCCACTACCATCACTCACACAGCAAATAATGGCTTAGTTACTGGAATTTGACAAAAATATAATACGCTGAAGATTTCAAAGCAGCCGCTATATAATACGAAATTAAAATGTTAATATTCAACAGCACCTGTCAAGTTAATTAACATTTTTCCTATTCAGCTCTTAACATTTCTTTTATCTTATGCTTGCACTTGTATAAATTCCACTTACAAATTCTACAGGTCATCCTGGTTCTTGTTAGAACCTGAGATCCTTTTGCACTCCATTAATTTATCACATTCATGTTGTGCCATTCATGGTCAATAGTTTTCTCGTCTCACAACCAAGTCTCATGGTCCAATTTTCAACCTCGGCACGAACACAGCTTCATCGGACCGTAAATGTTCACACCTTGTTCACACCCACTTGAATTCACTTGCCGAAATACCTCGTGGCAGTTTTCTTGTAGAACGAGCCTAACAACATATTAAACTTGGAGCTCTGAAACGCCCTTCAGCCTCGTTAATCCTCTTCATAAAAGAATTACTTAAAGCAAGGAAAACTCATAGGTCCTTCCAAGTTAATTGTTTCATGAACCACGCGCACTTTGACTTGAATCTCTAGAGTAAATCTCCCTCAAAGAATTACCTACAATCACAAACCATAGATTACGAAATATATCTGAATTTAATATATAAGCGGTTCACGCTATTTCACGATGAAAAGCTTCCGACGGAAACTTCTATGTGAATGTGTTGGCAATATTTCGAAATAATTTTCAAGCTTTGAGCGCAAGTTGCAGAACTTCATTCAGAATAATACTGAAATACACCAATAAATTTCCCCAAAAGATTGTCGATACTTCTTTGATGATACGGCTGATGATGATACTTCTTTGATGATACGGCTGATGATGATACGGCTTATGATGCACGACATTGAAAGCGATCCCAAGCTTCTCACTCAAGCACATGTCATGTTCGTTTTGCTATCATCATATCCTCTAGTAAAACATGATGCACGTGGCAAGAAGTCTCTCACAGCCTCCCCATTCCGAGCGGCAAGTTGCTGCTTTAACTTCGGATCAAATCTTGTTCAATTCTAAACAAAATAAATGGTCGACTCATTATTCCGAAACCAGTAACTTGCTTATTTAGATACGGGATGTCAGTGCATGACACTCGAAAATTATCATGGCCTCTTTGGGCTCCTCGATGATTTCAATCCTGAAAATAGACCGTCCCAAACGGTCCAAATTACAGCACATTGTCTTCGGGTATTTAGCACAGGATGTACGGAGAACAATCGAAGTCATCTTCTTAGTCAGCATAACTCAACAGTTGATCATGTATCTAGAGGGTCTCGGTCATGTATCTAGAGGGTCTCGGTGGTCTCCTGATGGCGACGCTCGTACAAGACGCGCTTGAAGCAGTCTGCGAAGTAGCCTGTGTATACGTGTTCTAGAGGCGTGTCTACACGGTCTAGAGGCGTGTAGGGGCGTGGTCTACTTCACCCTCTAGAGGGTCTCGGTGGTCTCCTGATGGCGGCGTTCATACAAGACGCGCTCAAAGCAGTCTGAGAGGTAGTGTGTGTAGGGCGTGGTCTAGAGGCGTGTCTACACGGTCTAGAGGCGTGTAGGGGCGTGGTCTACATCACCCTCTAGAGGGTCTCGGTGGTCTCCTGATGGCGACGCTCGTACAAGACGCGCTCAAAGCAGTCTGCGAGGTAGTGGCTGTAGGGCGTGAAGACCTTCACCCAGCGGCTCACTTCGTTGCTCTGGCGGAAGCTGAAGCAGAAGGCCAGAGCTTCGTCGTCCACCTCGTAGTTCTCGATGCTGTCCCATGCAAACTCTATCACCTGCGACTGTAACCAGATATTAATATCATTTTTTAACGCATTTTCTCATTTATGGGAAAAAAGGCGCTATTGTGCTCGTCATGTCCGCGCAAATTCTATCACCTGCGTCTGTATACAGAAATTAATATCATTATTTTTAGAGCATTTTCTCATTTATGAAAAAAGGCGCTATTGTGCTCGCCATGTCCGTCCGTCTGTCTGTGACTTCACAGACGGACGAGAAAATGCGCTCTCTGTCACTCACTGCAGTGAGTAGTACTGATCTAATTTTTTATGACAACAGGCAAATAAAATTAATAAACGGCAATAATAATTGATAACTGGGCAAGTGTCCTAAAGCGTTAAAATGTGCTAAAGTGTCCTAAAAGTATACTGCACTGACCTGCACCAGTACACTGCACTGACCTGCACCAGTATACTGCACTGACCAGCACCAGTATACTGCACTGACCTGCACCAGTATACTGCACTGACCTGCACCAGTATACTGCACTGACCTGCACCAGTATACTGCACTGACCTGCACCAGTACACTGCACTGACCTGCACCAGTACACTTCACTGACCTGCACCAGTATACTGCACTGACCTGCACCAGTACACTTCACTGACCTGCACCAGTATACTGCACTGACCTGCACCAGTA